ACTTCCGAAGCCATAGCAGACGAAGTTCAAAGCCGAATGTGCGCCAATAATTTCCAAATGATATCGGTTAAAACAACTTGCAAAAAAATTACGGCAGATGAGGGGGGTTTTCAGTCTACGCATATGTGCAAAGAAGTGCAACATTTGTTAATTAAAGTTTTTATTTCGGCTGCAGGAGTTTTGCAGAATAAAACATTGTGCTTCTAGCCGCTGGCGCTGGCTAAACCTTGTTCAAAAAGGCCTGAGTAACTATTAGGTCTCCTCGGAGGCTCCGGTACACAGAGGGAAAAAGCCAAGCACTCTGAGACGCGTTCCATAGTCCACGGATTTTAGTCCGGCAACCATTATCATGGTAGCTCGTTGGACATGTTCGATGAAGGTTATGTCCTTCTTACCTCCTGAGCAGACTACTTGCTCAATGCATTCAAAAATCGGTCTAACGTAGGCATTATAGAGGTCCTGGTAGTCCATGCGAGTATTACAGCTGAAGCTTACCCAAATTATCTGTGGAACAACGAGTGCCCTGTTAGCTAATTTTTCACCCTTTTTGGTATCTACCACCTGGTTCATTATCACCATGAACGACAACAGTATTCACTGGGTCCCCTCTGAATTTTGTCTGGGCGCAGTCTCCATCATTCAGGGGAAGACACCGGTTCAACGACCGCCGCTACTCAGCGGCTACACACATTTGGGTGACGCTAACGCTGGAACTCCATGAATTTCCGTCGTCCGAAATAGTACACATTGATTTGAAAGAATATCTAGAAGATCGCTGGCGTAAACGGAGAATAAACCTGTCCCAAAACAGGGCCTTGAGGAACTACAATGGAGTCCAGAGCCGAAGAAGAGTAGGTGGAAGTAATTTATGGGTGTTGTGAAAGCCCCAATCAAACGAAGAATTTCCTCTTGGGTCCCATTAGACCCGGTTTTACGAGGCAGCGGGTTGCGTGCGACGACCTTACCGATCGCTTCCGAGATAAGTATATCATCTAATAAACTGTTTTGTCCTTAACTTCGGTTAAGCTGTCCCTATATGCCTGCATATTGATCACGCAAGAACGGTTTGGGAGGATTCCGTATCCGCACCCGGGTGCGGACATTTCCGCACAGTTTCCGCAGATTTCTGCACCCGGATGCGGAACCGGGGCGGAAATGAAACAGGTTTCCGCACCCAGTCCGCACCCGGGAGCGGAAATTTCCGCACACTTCTGCACCCGGGTGCGGGAAATCCGTACTCAGTACCGGGATTTCCGCACCCAGTCCGCACTTAGCTAAAGTCGTTCGACGCGCAAATATAGCCCATTATACGGATTTATCCCTTTCCCTAGTACGATTCAGTAACATCCTAAACACTAAGTGATAACCCATCTGCCCCCATATAATTGCTCAGTGTATTACATTTCCGGATATCAATAAGCGCCTTCAAGTACAAATGTTTTAATGAGTGAATTATAAAAAATACAGGGGGAAGATCATTTGTCACTCTTGGTGGCTCTCTGCAGGCGTTTCCGAACTTTCTGCCGTTCGTTCTCCAGCCAGCGATGAACGATTTCCTTTATTTGTCGCGGATTTGTGTTCGGAAATTTCTCAGTTGCCGCGTCTGTAATGAAGAACATAGTTATTGAGTTTCATCCAGACACTGATTCAACTAGCTAAATATAAAATAACAATTGACTACTTACAAATAAGTCCCTGGGCGAGCCTGGTTGACCCGAAGGCTTTTTTGTCATTTATCCCGCGCCAGTTGAGTAGTACGGCCAGCCTTGGAGCCAACGTCCGCGTAAGCACGTTGGTCAGGTACACTTGTACATCGCCAGCCTCCTGCAAGAGCCACCTTTCCACCTTTGTCAAATCAACAATCGTGACTACGACTAATACTTACCAGCTGTGCATAGCGTGGACCATCTCTTAGATGTTCCTCATACTTTTGGAGATCATCCATGGATGAAAGCGGAAGAGGGGGCTCGTTGAGTGCCTCAGAACTGCTAGTGGGTACTAGAGCGTCTATCTTCATGTGCAGTCTTTGGAGCGACGAGTAAATCTTCTCTAAATTCTCTATAAAATAGTTTAATTAGAACATGGTAATCTACTCACTGAGAATGAGGTTGGCCAGATCCGGGGAAATTACGCTGGCCTTGGGATTTGGAGAGTTAGTTCTAGAAAGTAAAGTACATGGAATGTTGAGAAAACCTGGGGATCGGGGTAGAACTGCGTGGTGCTGGATCGCCCACGGCGGGAAGTGTTGTACACGTGGAACTGCTGATAGATTATTTGATGGTGGTAATGAAATAAAACGTACGTTCCACATATCATCGGGGCATCACGAGGGACGGGTGGCGCGTCTCGAACAGGAATGAGACTACTAATCGTGGCAGTCGGATTGGTACATCTGAAAATGAGGATTTTACAAATTGAAAAGTTGGTAGGTGCGGGAGGACCTACAGTCTTTTTGGAGTTGGTGGGCTTATGACTATGTTCGCAAACAAAGTGGTGTCACCACTGGAATCACGATCCGACCCGTCTGTAAAATCAGACGGCAGCCGTTTCTTTGCACTGCAACCATTGTAATACGATTCATAAACATACTGTTTTTGCCTGGATTGACGTACCAGCCGTTCATCGTTTTGCTCCGCGGAGGAGGTATGCCCTGAGTCAAGGGCTTCCTGCTGAGCACTCAGTGCATCCGGAAAAGTTTCTAGAACATTTTTAACTGAAAATGAACTTACTGCACTGCCGATACACTTCGTACGTGCACGACTTGAGTGGACATTTCGGCAAAGTACCCTTCAGTAAGTTTGCATAAAGAGTGCTGGTTGTGCACGAGGGCCAAAGGACTGAATCGGGCGGTACGAACCACGATTCATGCACTATACCAACAGAGTTGTCCGCAAATATGAGCACAGCATACATGGCTGAAAAACAACTTCCAAATACGACATTTAACAGCAGAATATCCACAGGCACACGGAAGCTTTGATGGAATAACAAAACGCCAACATAAATATGTATATATATTTTACGAACTAATGAGTAAAATAAGTAATAAATGCATACATGTGTCGAGTGACAGTGGTAAGATTACTGACTAATCGATGAGGGTATGCAAAATGGGGAAGTATATACGAGTGTCTGTGCGGGAAAAACTTAAGCATTTACAAGATATTTGGTCGACTGATGCAAACAGCCGAGTGTGTTGCAAGTCGGAGCATTGAAAAACTAAGACGTCCGTCGAAATCAATACGTGAGTGTAAAACGGTAGAACAGTTTTGAATTTCTGGTACACAATAGTATCTTTAGAAAAATCTACAATTACAGCTGGCTGACCATCAAGCAAAATGCAGTTGTCGGGAAAGTTTTTCGAAAAAACGACATCCCTATGAATAAACCTGCGACATCCGGCAGTGACCGATGGCCTCAGTCGCAAACCAACATCATCCAAAAACACCTTCCTTTCGACAGCATCCAATCCCACACGCTCGGACAGTCGGCGGTAAAGCTGAACGGCCGGTGGTTTTGGACCATGTATGTAATGCTTCAAATGACCCAGCTCCGATTCATAGGGAAAACAGGAAAAACGATCCAAGCAACCATAAAGCTTGATGAAATTGAACAAATGGGAGAAGAGGTGTATGTTGTACACTAAATGGCTGGGACCAAAAATAGCAGCAAATTTTGACACCGCAACCTTGGAAACATCAATTAAAAAATTAGCATAATGTTGTGAAAAAAAGGTGAACAGCCTATGAAAGTGGTTACCGAAAAATACATGAAACATTCGTAAACGTCAGGATGTAAGATGTCTCGTAAAACAACGGGTCCTATGTACAGAAGAAACTGTCGTAGCTCAGATGCCTTCCACCGATCCAGGTCTACGACACCTCTACATTTTCGGGGGAAATCAATACTCAGAGCCAAACTCTGTTGCTCAATGTTAGCATTCAGCAGATTCCAGGACTCCAAAGAAAGCCTGGCCTTGTGTCCAATTGGCATAGCTCTGAGTAAGATGAGAAATTTCCGCACTAAACCAAGACACACGCTATGCATGTAATCTGGTGGGAAACCGTCAATCATGGGAAAATTTAACTCCTCCATCGGACTTGGACCTATATGGTGCTTCTCTTGTTTTCTGGTCCGGAAATCATAGTCACGACGCAAGGGAGCTGTCAACGAGGGAAAAGTCATACGTGTGCCAATGTGCACACCCCTTTGTGTACAGTAATCACAGCCATAATATCCTGTATGTCCCTTCACTTGCTTCAGAAAGGCCCTAGCAGGACTATCACAAATAATGCATTGAAGACGGACGGTATGAGTACTGCAAACCCCGGAGACACCGTTCGCCAAGACGTCTGTCAACTCAGCGACCGTGTCAGACATCAGCTGATGGGCATCATTGGGTTTTTGCTTACCACAGTATATTCCCACGACGAAAGGCTGACCGAGAAAGGGTGAAATTATCCGGGAGAGTATAGGCCACACTTGAGTACGCGAGTTGTTATAGGCCCGAATACCGTCAACGTTAATTTGAATTTCGATATTCGTAACCGTAGTCTGGATCTCACGGAGCTGTTGCAGCAAACCTGCTTTCAACCCAAGGTGGATGTACATTCCACCGGCCTTCTGTCGCACGCAGCAACGACGGGGGGTTTTCATTACAGTCCGTGGATCTTTCGGAAGAGACGGAAAAAAGTATCTGAGTTCGTCCAACACAACGGCTAAACCGGATAAAGGTAGATTCAGCCTTCGCGCCATCCGACGAACAGCCGTTAAAATACTTCTACCTGGTTGTGAATGGTTTAAAAAGGATACTGATGAAAAGCAATATAAGTGCAAGCAGAACATACGGACTGATCCTTTCAACGACTTGCAGTGGGCTACCTTATGGCAAAACGCAGGAACCGAAAGGTTCTCCAGGGACCACAGTGGCGAATGTCTTTCTGGTTCCAAAGTTCTGATAACATGGATCGGGGGAACCGCCGGCGAACCTCGTGATAAATCGCAGCCTAGTTTATCATCTGGAACGATCAAATTCGGCATACCTACAGCCTATCATCTGATTAATCATGGATCCTACCCTCAGATAGTCGACTAACGGCATTATGGACGCATTCATCAGTCGAGCAACGAAAACAGCCAATTGCCGCAACCGCCTGTCTTATTTTCCTATGTAGCGTTGTTCTTGAAGAGCCTTTACACGCAACACGAACAAACTTCGGGCGCATTGACGGTTAATTGAAATGAAACATATTTTGAACGGTTTCGTTCACGTGAACACACCGGGAATGAAACACATGAAANAAACTCACTCTCAGTTGCACGGGAGGACAAGCAGAACGCAGAGCTTTCAGCGAGCAATGGCACCGCACAATAAAACAAAACCACTTAAATCGGTTGACCGTTTGCATTTACTAGGCACACGGAAATGCAAGGTATTGTGGTTTTCTATTACTGTGAGACAAATAAAGAAGCTCTGATGTCTATCAAACGTCTCAATCCCCCGAGGCTTAAAAGCCGGAAATTAGTGCAGAAGTTCTGCACAGATTCCGCACAGGGTCTTCACCCAGGAACGGACGCGTGCTAACTGGGCTTGATGGATTCCGTCAGAATGTGTTCCACTAACATGGATGGCATTCTGCTGCGGCTAATATGCAAATAGCTGCCGGGCGATGGTCGGTCATTGATATGGTTCACGATACGGAAATTTGAATGACGCGTAGTTTCGACAATCCCGAATATCAAAAGATGAATCGAGTTCAAAATTCTATGGTACAATTTACACAAGTGTAAGCAAATATTACAATATGCACACGTTCATAGCGTTAACAAGTGCACGAGTTTGTCACTCACCGTCATGGTGCAGTGTCAACGTCCACACACCAAACAACGGCGAATAGAATGTTGGTCCAGAAGTGTGGGTTACGATTGTCCCTCCCGACGACATTCTCGTGATTCTCATTGGCCGTGCGATCAGACGAGATATATGAGAAGACAAGATAGGATATGGAAGCGTTCACATTCACACACGGACATAAATGCCAATGCACAAGTGTCGGACGGGTCGGCCCCTGTGGCACGCATGAGCAAAACAATTGAAGATCAAAAGCACATAGACGAAGCAAGCAAAATAGACGGTGGAATTGTCGTGAGGTCACCTTGCCACGAAAACCACTTCCTTCGAAGCAGATGTATGGCTGTCTTCGTCAATTCATCCACTGGAAACCAAGGAAAGTATCTGGCGATGTAAGCTAGGTGTTGTTCAAGATCTTTGGATGGAATCTGTCCGTGCTGTGCAGGTAAGCGGGAGCTCATGAAGTGATCGAGGATAAGGAATTTTGTATGTATATCAAGAATGGGAAATTACGAGCCGGTTTTAGCTGAAGCTAGTGCAAACTCAGTGCAAATTAAACAAACCTGATAAAGTGATTCGCAGCTTGAATTCGCCTCAACGGAAAAGGCATAAATCGTCTGCGGCCTAATAATTTACTTCTAATACTCAGTCCCCCTCTTCCGAAGCTTCAAACTTCGGCCGTAGTTGCCCAAACGTCCCGTACAACCGAAATTAGTTCAAGCTGGCTTGTCCGCGGTCTACGGTCGCATGGTGCTTCAAATGAAGGAAAAGTATCCGGGACGCTAAATCCGCCTGACCTCATCTGGTCAGTCTCCTCTCCTAACACAGATCCAGCTGCCACGGAAACGCGTATCCTATCCCCGACTGCGACATCCTCGAGGACCGTTACCAGGCTGTCCTTAAACAGAAGTATGCCAGTGTGGTGGTGGCATGGCAGAGCCAAACCCAGTATGGTGGAACACCCACAACAGTTTTCTTTAGCATTTCGACCGCAACCTCTTGCCCAATTCAGCCTGTAACTTCACCTCGCCCAAACAACCTCCGGTAAGAGCTCATTCTAACCCGATTAAACTTTCGTTCGGATTTGACAAACCTGGGTTCCCGCTGCGATTTCGGCTGGCCTGTTCCACAGTTTCAACTCCATGCGCGGTGCCCGTTTGGCCCCACGAATTGGCATTAACTCCCCGTCTCTACAACAGTCCCACCGTTGAGTCCAATTGGTTTCGTATTAAACCATATTTTCAAGGCAAGCTTAGCAATTTATTCTACTTCGAATTATTCCATCTTCATTTTTGCGGAAGTCGATTCATGCACAAGCCAAACTAAAGCAAATGATTGGCTGGTCATAGTCACGTGATCCATACAGAAACATACAACCACTGCATACGAGGCCCAGCTGCTCAACAGAAATTTGCACTAGCCGTCACAAGGGTTGGCGGATCAAGTCCGGGCGACGGCGCTCGGCAAGTTTTCGACTTCCCCGGTTAATATGGCATTTAGTAGGATGCTACTGCTTTTGCTGAGTCATATGTAGCACTAAAAATGATTCACCAAGATGAAAGCAACTTAACGTTCTGAGTGCGAAGTTTTGACTATGGCTACATATCCATGACTATAGTCAAGTTTGAATCGAGATTTCCTAAAACACAAATGTCGAGTTCCTCCCAAGCTTTGATTGCAAGAAATGATGTGGGTAAACAGAAGAAAGTTGTGTGAATAAAGGCGGTTCGATGGATACGTTAAGGTTCGCGGATGAATTCTGTGATGTTAAGATTTTTTATTTTATAAACGTACTATGGCAAGTATTTCACGCATAGAAGCAGAGGTATCCTGCAATAAATCATTAAAATTGTTCCAGGCTATTTTCTCGCTTGCACTGACAGTCCATCTTTCCTTGGTTTATACGCTTCAACCATTTAACTTGTTTTTTCTTGGCTTGTGCACAAATGCAATTTGAACGCGCGCGCTTCCTGGCTTGTGCATAACTTACCAATCAGAATGCTGGCTTGTGCATGAATCGCATGCCCATTTTTGCTTGTTTTGACACTGGCTATTTAATCAGCCGCCAAGGTCACTACTGGTCGGCAATTGTTCACACTTTTGGTTCATGTCAGCCGGCTTTATTTTTGAACTAGCCGGACCTCATACCCATGTTACTAATTTTTCTCCGTTACTGCAACTGCGATGGCTTTTCAAGCAATAAGCGTGCCCCGTTGGTTATACCTTCCTCCCAGCTTCGTTGTTGCCTGCCGTGTTCAGGCCGTAACGACCCGATTATGCTTCCATCAGCATGCATCTTTCAATTTGAGAAACGAACCCATCATTGTTTTTTCCTCAGTTACTGCCAACTGTTCATGACATTGTCCTTTTTTCGTGCACTCTCCAGTACCCGCAAGCCCCCAGTCATGCTTTATTCTGACTGTAATCGAATGAACATGTCTGTCGGTCTGCCACCTACAAGTTGAGTATACACATCAATATTATAATTCAAATTTTGCAACTTTGAGGTTTTGCTTACTGCTATGATATCGCAAACATACTGTCGTTCTTCTAGGCACAGCCATACCTGAAGCGCTGAAGGGATTAAACAGAGTATTAGCTTGTAGTTGGTAAACCCTAAGGGTCCAAGTCCTATGGAGAGCTCAAAACTTTGTGCGCAGCAAATTTTTTGGTTCCTCATGGCTAACGAGGCTAGGCTACGTGCAGTGACTGTCACAAAATTTATCAACGTCTCTCTTCGTTTGCAGGTCAAAACTGTGTGTCTCTGCCTCTGATGTCCAACGCCTTGTAATCGCGCCAGGTGCACACTATACGTTTGACAGCCCCATTTTCAATGCAACCATGAGTACTCGCCAATCATGCTTTCATTCTTACTCTACCATTATAATCATGGCTGCGGTATGCCAGCCACTAGGTGGAAGCAAATATTATCAGTACATATACTCTGTTTCCACCGCAGATAACGTGCTACTGTCGGGCAGTTTTGCAAAGGCTTTCATCATACAAACGAAATTGTTCGACAGTGAGTCGTCGTTACACCATTGACCTCACTTTTGCTGGTGCGCCCCAATGAATTTGAGAAAGTACGTTTACTGACTGACTAAGAGAATATTTTGGACATCATTGGATGGGCGATCTTTAGCCAAGCCCTTTAGGGATTTATCTTCATCAGGTGGTGAGCAGTGTGTAGAGTCAAGTATTTGTATGAGGTAGCACCTCCCTTATCTGACAGTAAACTAAGTGGTTGCACGAGTGAAACTTGATCATTGACAAAGGACAGCGAATATACTGGTTTTCAGTGCATCCTACAACCCCGAGGTGGAAACCACCTTTCTTAGGTACAAAAATAAGCTGTTGTCCTTCGTAACCACCTTTCTATCCGTCGCTTGAGCTAACATCTCAGGGAGTTCAAGGTCATCCCATTCTTGCGACGGTACAAGTTCTAGTTCGAAAAAAGTATCTTCCATTTATGAACCCCTCTTTAATGTCGACATCACCTGCAAGGTTTGGTTCCAAATTCCCCCACTTGTGTTCGTCGATTGTGTCCCCTTGATATGCACAGCGTCATTTTTCCGAAACCCTATTCAAGTTAGGTCTGGTCCGTTTTTATACGGTTGCTGAACCTCTGCGCATCTGTCGGCTTTTTGCGTTTATTCTAACTAAACTCCTTCTGTGTTCCATAACTTCGTACAACCTGCCGGTTAAGAGTAAACGATGGAGAACAACTTGCTTGCTTGATAGATTTGGAGAAATTCCCACCGTTGGTTGCAGAGGAGCATAGAATATGCCAACAGCTAACGTTTTCACAGCTCAAAAGGGCGCCTTCCTTGAGAGCGCCTAAAGCGAATACGGGAAAACTTATACTTGTTAGCTCCCGTGGGCCGTACTAAGCTAAAATTTAATT